AAATGGGGAGGGGAAAGACCAGTACAATAAAAGGTCATTTAGTTATAAATTACTAATATTTGGGATTGGAAATGCCCTTGAATGGGGCAAAGCCCTTCATTTCAACGGGCTCTATCACAGTCCTTCATCATTGTTAAAGCCATATGACAACACCAGTCCGAACTGCTGTTTTGAAGACTTTCCTCTAAGCATTTTTTCCATTATTTTTCAGAGCTGAAAACAACCTGTTCCAAGCGTGCTGGTTGCTGTCAATTTTACCTTGATGTGCTGGATTCACATCCAGAGATGCTGGCCACAGATACATTAAGAAGCCAGAAAGACCAGACCCCCCCCAGGTTTCCTCCTGTGCACCCACGGTTCCCCTACCCGCTCAGAACCTGGCAGCACCGCAGTGCATGACAAGGAAAGATGATGGGCAAGTAGCTTGGCTTCAGTGCAACTACTCTGAAGCCTTTAGCGTTGTCCTGAATGAGAATTCACAGCAAACAAGACCCTACTGAATAGGTCTAGTGCAAGTCAAGGTGGACGTCACATTCTCATCTCTCTTTCGTCACCGAAGCAGCGATCAGCCTCTTCCATGCTACACTGAGATCAGCTTCTCTGGTCTCTTTTCCAGTAGTGGTTCTTAGCATTTCTTAAGGGCACTGACAATTCCTCACAGCAGCTGCATTCTACCTGATAGCTCCATGTTTGAGTTGGTATGCCGCTACGCAAAGGTCAGTTATTTTCAGCTCTTCCTTCTCATTCATTTGAAAACGCTGCCTGATAACTGCTGAGCTCTTTAGGTTCTCTGCAGGTAACATCCTTCCACAGCCTGGTACTTTCATAAGAACCTGTTTACAGCGCACCTGGTTTCCTCTCTAAGGCTCTGGTAGGTCTTTAGCCCTTGAAATCCTATGCTAACTTTGAAATAAAAAAAATAATTCTGTTTTTTATTTATATCTATTTAAACATTGTTTCTTTCTGTTGCCATATAACTCCGCCACCCTTGCACAGGTCATCAATACTGCAGTTGGTCACTCCCTGTTTGAGGTCTCCATTGGTTCATGAAACTACTCACACAGATGAATTCTCCTATTTTGTTCATGCTTTTTCTTACAAAATCGCCTCTCATGTTTGAGAATATTTGTTTTAGCATCAGTGATTTCTGTCTTTGCCTAGCCAGCTACTTTTGTTAGCTTAGCCTCATACTTTCTGGACATGATTTTAGTAGTAATGTTTGCATTATCTAATCAATAATAAGGCCACAGCACACAAGGATGATTTGTTTCTTAGCTGCTCAACTTAGAGAATGTTTTGCACCTCTGTATACAGCCGCGAAGATCTGACTCCGTAAGGTTGAAAGTTGTTCTGCAAGATCCTCTCATAGTCTGCCAAAGCCTTTTGAAAACCAAAGAAATAAGAGGAGCCTATTCCTTTATACACTCCTCTACAATTGCTAGGACATGTATCTAGTCCATCCAAGGTGCTGAGAGCCTCCATTGAGCCTGTTCCTTGTTTTGCACAGTGTCCCTTTACCTGTCTTACACTGCAGAAGCCTCAACATCTCCCCAGCTCCAGTATTCAGCAAGATCACCCTGTCGGGGCAGGCTAATAAAACTCCAGCATTTCCACTATTGAGGAAAAATCTTTTTCCCAGGCTTCATTGCACAACTCCCTTAGTGTCATTAAACTGGTGCTGTCAGGTGCCATCACCTTTTCTGATGGGATTTCATCCATTTCTACCTCCCAGGAGTTTTTCAGCCTCTTGCTGTTGGTGTTAATGCCAAGCTCAGGGTTTCCAGCTTTCACTACTGCTTGGCATGAGGGTTGTCGAGAGCAGTTAAAGATTTCTTTGAAGTGATCTCCACATCTGCTTTCCCTTCTGTATTAGCTGTGAATATTTTTTCCTTTTTTTCTTTGTCTGGCACATTTCCTCCATTTACTCTCCTGCTG